TCCAAACTGTTTTCAGCTATTAGTAAATAGCAGTCCTGAAGGAAAACACTTCCAAAAAATTTAAAAGGATTCAAAACAGTAGAATTCTTTGTCATGAGCTTATATGGAATTTTGAATTAAAAATAAAAATATCTTCTCCAGACTGAATATTTCACTGCTTTAGCTTCAGATATAGGAATATATGACCCATGAAACATGCAAGTGGATAAATGTCCCTCTGATAGGTTCATAACACTAAAATTATACAATCACTTTTGAGGAGGTTATATTACCATTTTATCTCATTTCTGTTTCACAAGAAACAGCTGCACAGAAATCAGGATTGGATCCAGGTTTATTTTGTGCACAATCTCTTATACAGTAATTGTTACGGTTTGAATTTTAAATGTGCCCTAAACATCGACATGCTGCAGGCTTGGCCAGCAGCCTGTGGCACTATTAGGAGATGGTGAAATTTTTAGGAGGTAGGTTGTAGTTTAAGTAAGTCAGGCTATATGCTTTACAGGTCTGACTTCTTTTCTTTCCATCTCTTTATTTCTCAGCCACAGTGGATATGATGCTTTTCTCCATTATCCACTCCTCACCATGATGTTCAGCCTTACCACAGGCTCAAAAACAGTGGAGCCATTGTATTTTGTTATAGCAACAGAAGGCTGACCATTGCTGTACTTTTATCTAACGGTGAAAAACATATCAATAAATCTTCAAGTATCAACTGAAAAAAATAGTTTTTGAGGGCTTATAAAACAAAGATATTGCAAGCAGGCAGTCTTGAGTTCAATCCCTGGTACCAATAAAAAGGAAAAAGACAAAAACAAAACAAAGATATTCTACTCATAAGATGCAAGAGTTTTTCTAGGAAAGCTAATGTCACCTCAGCACTTTTTCTCTAAATCAGACAAATGAACTCAATCAATAGAAAACCATCTGGCTGGAAACATTATAACCGAATCTTTTCTGCATTCCTGCAAATTAAATTCATGGTTCCATGATATAATATATTTCTAAAACATTTTTTAAATACTTCTAGTAGTTCAGTTTTCTCTTTTCAGTTTTTAATTAACTGCATTGACTTGGACACACCGACTTTACAGTGTTCGTAACAAGAAATAACAGAACAGTGGAAAAAGGACTCAGAAGTCTCAAGTTCATTCTCTGGCTCCCTTTAGTCCTGGACCTTTGAGCTGATGACTCATCCAGCATCTCAGTTTCCTCATTGCTTTGTCAATCTGGGAAGACACTTTTGAGGCCAATATAAAAGAACATGCATGAGAAAATTTTACATTAAAAAAGAATATTTTCTTAAGCAGAATCCCAAGGAAAATGATCTCATGTGTTAGACTGGAAAAAAGCACAGCATTCAAGTTAGTTTTGAAAAATTCCAGGATATTTAACAATTTGCATTCAAATTGTAAATATTTAAAGCAGGCTTAGTCATAGAAAGAGAATCTTTAAGGCTTTAGTAGATCAATATTTCTCCAACTAATTTAATCATGGCATTCTCTTTTTTGAATGTGAACATTTTATTGCTTACATTCTGTATAGTACAATTTGGAAAATGCTATATAGTATAGTAAATCAAAAAGTATTGTGATACTGTAACTTTTAACTTAATTTGAAACAAAGTTACAGTTATTATTTACAAGTTGAATTATAAGTTATTATAAATTAATTATTTGGGGGATTTTTGATGTATTAATTATCTGATCTTTCCCAAAGCATATCAGCTATTTGATAGTAGGTTTCTTTCTTTCTTTCATTTTTATTAACTTTATTGGTACAATTTAGATATACATAATGATTATATTCTTCATAGGAAATTTCTGCCTTTACAGGATATGTCTTGATTCCTCTTTTTTTTTTTTCACTCCCCTCCCTCTCAACCTCTCTTCCCCTCTTTATTTATAATACTTTGTTAATTCAGGAATATTAACAGGAATAAAAAACTTCATAATAAGTACATTCATAATTTATCAAGACATAATATCATAAATGTACATATACTTGGTACTGGATCTTCAAAATATGTACAGCAAATAATGGCAAGGATAAGCAAAGAAATAAAATTAATATTAGTAGTTTAATAATCTCTCATTAAGAAATAAATAAGTATACTCAAATTTTAATGATATAGAATACCTAAGCATTACTGATCAACTTGACATAACAAACATTTTATATAACACCATAACAAATAACGAAATACACAATGCTTTTCAGTAAACTTTAATCTAAAATAGGCCACATGTTAGTCCATAAAATAAATGTCAGCAAAGTAATGATAGAAATTGAAATCCTGTAGCGTATAGTCTCTGAAAGTGAGGGAAATTATAAATAACAAAAAGATAAATATTGCCAAATATTTAGAAATTAGGCAATATAGTTCTAAGAATCCCATAAGTCAAAGAGATAAAAAGGAAAGCAATTTGCAAAGGAAATCTGGAAAATGTATTGAAACAAAATGAAATTAAAGTAATCTCAAAATGTACAGACAGATAAAGACAACAGAACAGCATACAAAAGTAGATCACATGTATGTGCTTAATCAAACTTTGGATAAAGTTTTCAAAGTCTTGAAAACTTAAAAAAATGATTTTCTTAGTAAATGTCCCTCGTAAAAGCTATATGTTCATTTGAAATAATTAATTTAACTCTTACTTTATACCACTCATAAAAGTTAACTTCAATTAAAACGTATATTAAACACCCCTCAAAAAAAAGTCTAGAAGTTTAAAACTTCTGTAAAAAAAAAAAATAATGTAGCAAAGATTGCTTAGAATACTGAAAAAAGCATTAATAATTGAAAATGATAAATTGATCTCAGCTTTTCTCATGATATTACTGACAAAATGAAACGGCAAGCTAAGACTGGAAGAAGTTTTTGTAGGTTATTTATCTGACAAAGATATAGCAGTCACAATATATATTGTAAAAACTTCTACATCTCAATGTGTAAAAATGGACAAATATTTGACAGATGTCTCACAAGAGAAAAATACATAAATAGCCAGTAATCGTCTGAAAAGGCACTTAGATTAATACATTATGAAAAATATAAAAATTTAAATCACAAAAAGATACAAGGTTACATGTCCACCAGAATGAGTAAGATAAGTCATATCACCTATTTTAGAAGGCCCATAGGGCAGTTATAACTCTCATAAATTGTTGATAGGAATGCAAAATGTGTATCTCTTAACGGTAAACATACTCAGCATACAGTCTAAAATGTCAGCTTTCTAATTGTCAGTCAAAAGAAATGAATCATGTTCTCACAAAACCTTGCCTACAAGTGTCTAAAAAATCCTTATTCACAATATACCAACAAATAAAGAAACTCAAATGTTCATAAACAAATGAATGGATTTAAAAATGTATTTTACTTGACTTTTCAAAAAAGAAAACCTCGTGATTTATAAAACACACAAGTAGAGAATCTCAAAAACACAAGTCAGAATGAAGAATATATATCTATGGTTCCTTCTATGCAAAAAGTCTAGATTAAGAATTATCTAAAGCAAAAGTGGGAAACTGACCACAGAGGCACAGGGAAGGTTTTAGGGTGCTGGTGATGCACTATATTATGATTATAATAGTGACATTTACATACTTGTACATGTATCTTATTGAAGTTTGTACTTTAAATATTACACTTTATCATGTGATTTTAAATCAATGTTAGTGTAATTTCAAAACTACATTCACAAAACATATTACTTTACAGTCATGAGTGAGAACAAATAACATAACCAAATTAAAATTTTGTTGCCTGTATTTGTCTTACATGGATTCTTCAGAAATATTTCCTGGAATAAAAATGTAAATGAATATCATTTATCCTGGAGTTGTCTATAATAGGAATCATGACTGGACTGAAGAATTGTGGAAGTGAAGAAAGTAAGCAAAAAAAAGAAGAAATTCAGTAAATTATGTGCCATCAAGCAAGTCAGGGCTGTGAGGTTTAGAGAAGCAGTAGACCATATACCTCAAAGTTGTCCACTTCACACCACTGATTGAAGACAATCCCAACATTGCTGGAAGCCTGTTCTTTGGCATTTGCAGAACATTATTTTCTTAGCAATTCTTGCCTGCTGTGAGGTTGCAAAGCAGACTCCAATGATCAGAGTAACCTCCAAGCAGAGCAAGTTGAAAAATGATCTGCTATGGAATGAAGTGGTAAAGGGAGAGGAGATATGGGGAGAGAGGAGATACAGGGAAGGAGATATGGGGAGAGAACCCGCTCTCTGTCTCCTATTGCAACAATACTGAAAGATAATAATACCTAACAGCTAGAGTACACTGATCCTTTGTGGACCTTTTATGCTTTATTTCAACTTTTGTTTTTAAGACCAACACAACTTTTGCAACTACAAACGTATAAGCCAAAGGAATTCCCCACAAATTTCAAAGTCAAATTTATACATTCAAATACACTAGAAAATGTAAATATCATTCTGTCTTATCACACAAAATATACACCGAAGAATAGAGAAAAAAAAATAGAAACACAAATTTAGAAATATTCTAATTGTTTTTTCTTGTAATTGTCTTTATTAGTAATAAAACTACATCTTCCCCAGGATCATTCATTAGCAGCAACATATTTAGAGATAAGTATTAATGTATAAGACACTTAACTATTAAAACTATCAAACTACTATTCTACAATAGAGAACTCTAAATATTTTCTTAGAGGCTTAACAGAATTAATATAAATTTCCACTTGTGAAATGAAACTATTATATTTGCCATTGTTTTGTATTTTATCAATGATCTAAGCCAGCACCAACTCATATCTCTAACTATTCAGTCATCACATATATTTACATTTCCAAATGAATATCAATGCTTCATATTTAATCTCCAAGCATAACACTTTTAAATCAATTGTCCCACTGAAGTGCATATGGATCAAACATATCATCCAAGGCACAATAACATACCCAGTTAAACAATCGGTAAATTTCTTTTAGTTTACATAAATTAAGACAGCATTTCCATTTTGTGATTGGTAGGAGCTTTTATCATTTTCATAATTCTGATTGCACATTTTAGGGGAAACTGAGGTAAAGACTAATTTTACTACTCACAGATTTTGAAGAAGTTTGGCAGATTAACACATAATTCTTGTTCCAACATCTTCTGACTTTAAAGCATGCCCCAAATATGTTTCCAGATACTTAAAGATGTGATAAAATATTTTAAAAGTTTGAATTTTTTTATTTATTCAATTTTTATTCAGAAGTTGTAATACAAAATTTACACCTTTTGACTGGCATAAAAAATAAGATGGTTGAGTATAAAATAGATACACTGTTAAAGTAGTCCTTCATAAATCTTTTAAAATTTCTCTTTATTAATTCAACTGATTTATAGTTTTGTCCCATTCATCATTTTATAATTTCTGCACCAATTTTTCTATCTTGATAAGTTTTTATTTTTAAGAACCTTTTTATAATTATGATAGAGAATCATGTCTTTTTTTATGAAAAAGGAATATATATGTAATTTTTGACCTCCATAAAAGTCAGTTTTGAAATCCATGACCTACGTCCAGGTTAGAGAAGTATGCTTTTCCACTTAGAAACTAATTAGTATAATGAGCTAAAATTGAACATAAAGAAATTTAGATGTTCTATTTTTCTATTTACTTACTCCCTCTAACTTGCGTAATAACAATTTTCCTCTCAAATTTTCAACAGGGAGTCAAATTCATGTAAGTATTAGATAGTTTGAAGGTTTCTTTATGTAGTTTTAAAACATTGCACCTCAAATATCATAATCTCTTTAAGGGCAATAAAGTGACTTTCAGAATGCACTCAAGGAAGATACATAAGCCTTTCAAAATATAAATTAATTTCCTTTCCCTTTTATGAGTTCCAAAGAGAAATATCAAGCATGTGAATCAATGACAAGGTAAGTACAAGAGGTATCTTTCAGCTAATTTCAAAGCAGGTTTTAAAATGTTTGCTTTCATAAAGCATCTATCTTTACACATAACTTGAATGTAAAAAATAAGATATCATCAGCTTTCCTGTTTCTCTTCTATGCCACAACCAGTCTACCAGTAAATACAAGGCTCCACTTTTATAATATGCTCAAAATGTAACAGTTTTTCACTTCCAACCGTGTTACAAAGACCACAATTTGACCTTGAGTTGTCACTGTAATCTCTTAACTGAGCCATTTACAGTAGCTTGGTAACAGGACTTGCTGCATCGTCTCCGCAAACAAGTCTCCAGTGTGCAGTGCTCCAAACACAGTTCACAGCATATCACTTACCTGCTCAAAACCTCCCAAGAATTCCCTTTGTTATTCCTAAGTCAAGTCAAAACCCCGCTTCCTTCTTAGATCATTGTCTAAGGTCCTCTCCCGGGCTTCCTGGCTCCAGCACCTCCAGCCCAAACACACAAGCCAGGCCCCACTTCAGGCACTGTCCATGTCTGTGCCAACTAAACTCTCTTTCGCCTTTCAAATGTCACTGTAGGGTAACCATTTTCCAAAATGATTGATATTAAAAATAAACTAATAAACTCCTGTATCATCTTTCTACTTTATTTTTGTCTTCGTAGAACTTACTACATCCGGAGTCACAATGTATTGAGTGCTGCCTTCTGCCCAGAGATTCAAAGCTTCACAAAGTCATAGACTTTGTCTAGATTATTTTATCAAGTGAATACTCAAGTGAAAAGTTACACAGATGGCTTGGGACATCCCTCCGGGCCTTCTTCATGTCCCATGACCTCTTCATTTCCTCCCATGCCAGGAGGTGCCTCTGAGGAAATTCAATGATATCAAGACCATACTTGCAAACCATGACTGTAGCATAAAAATGTAATTTTTCATATATCCAAGTGAGACCTTTATGGTAAAGAAAGTACAACTGTGATAGAGTGGAAAGAATATTAAACTTGTGGCCTCATGAATCACATTGAATCTCATTCCTGCTAATACAGCTCATATCGAGGGTCTGTAAGATTTCCAAAGTATTATTTTCCCTTCAGTATGTCAGTGTTTGGAAATAAGTGATACAGCTATTCACAAGCCATAAAAAGGTAATTTGCAGAAAGGAGGGTATGATTAAAAATATGAATCAAAAACATTCTTCACCTTTTAAGTACTGCTCTCATATTTTTAAAATCATCCCCTTAATCCAAAACTATTATTATGCTGATATTTAAGCCATATAAAATTATGGACTAACACTGAAGTGAAAACATCATCAAGGTCACAAAATCCTCTCTGCATTTTAATATTCTTCACAGTAGATATCTCTGCATTCAAGCCAGTTTTCAGTGTATTATTACTGCAACTTCCTCCAAGAAATACCAACAAATTCCGTCAAATAAATGAAACAATATCTAGCGGGTATCAATTTCAAATAATATAATCAATTATGGAAAATACGTAACTTTAACCTTCTGCAATTTAATCCCAAAATCTAGCACATGCAGAACCCTACAACCTTAGCCACATGAGGTTAATTTCAGTCTGTCAAGGGGTTCTAAGTCGCCATAGAATTTTCATAGGCATATGTATAATGTCCTGGTGCTGGAAGGAGATGGCACCTGATTCTCACTTGCCATGAGCCATGCTGATGCTCCCAGAGACTCACATCCCATCTGGCCTTCAGTAATCAGGGTTGCTAGATTCTCGTGTATGTCCCTGATCCAGTATCAGGGGCCACTGCACACCCTGGGTTGTGTCAAGTTTATGTCATTCTTTGTTCAACAGCAAACTTCACACTAGTCATGAGACATTTTATACTCCATCTCTCTTTTCTAAATATTCCGTTCAGTCATCTTAACTCTGCTGCAAGACTGGCTACTTCCCCAGATTCCATTCCTTAAAGAAAGGCCTGTGTGCTCAGATTCCAAAACCCCCCAACTTAAAGGCTTTTTCCCAAGGACAAAAACACACCAAACGTGATCTTAGTTCCAGGAGTGAATTATTTTTCTTCACAGTGTGAAAAAGAGTACTTATTCTGAGTTGGGGGGAATGAGTGAGAAAGAACCAGCTCTCTATGATCTTAAATCTTCCGAACAAACTACTACATATGATCAAGAATATTGCTTGCAGGTTTCAAGGGTTGTCGTTTAGTATACATAACTCAAGCTATAAGAAAACAAAATAACAGAACATTTTGGGGGAACCATTGCTTCTACCATATTTTTTTTAATTTCCAGGAATTTCTAGTTTTTAGGAAGTATCTGATGGAACAGAGTCCTGCATGTAGAAAACTATAGTTATCTAATTTAGGGGAAGCCCTGCCCAGTGCAAAGAAGAAAAAGGTTGTAAGGCATGGAGCATATATTTAAAAGCTTCACGGACAATGAGGACCTGAGTAATATTTGAAGAACATTTATTATTTTAAAGAGCAATATTTCAAACTCAACAAAAATGCCAGTTTTGTAATTAATGAGTGAAATTGTATAAATTTTACTGAAATGCAAACAATATTTTAATGATAAATTTTACTCTGTTTTCTCTAACTTTGGGGGAAGTAAAAAGGTAAAGATCGTCCTGATGTAATAATGAAAAGGAAGTCTGTATACATCGATTATTTATAATAGATTCTGAGAATCGTCATAGCAAAAACCATTTGATCTTCTGAGTGAATTTTGATTTTAAACATGAGCCAAATAAGAGCAAGTAAGTGAAGGGAATGAAATAAAAATTACTGTCATAGTCAGAAGGCCAATGTACAACAGTCAGAAGCCTTAAAAAGTATCCCAGCCTCTAGTTTTATGGATGGAGCTAGGATTCTGAGAAACTTGAGAGGGCAATGGAAAAAATTGTTGATGTATTTAAGTATAAAATGTTGTAGGCAACAAAATAAAATATAACAGAAAAGAAGACTGAATTACCCTTTTAAAATTCCCTACCCACCCTGTCAAGCTATTAGCAGAAAATATCCTCATGTATTTCTTTCTGTCTTTGTAAGAATTCCTAATTTGGTTTTTAGCAGGTAAACAGAAAGCTAAATTATGAAATGACATAAAAACTTGAATGGCATCTCTACTACATCACTGGAACCACTTTTGTAGGAAACTGAACCACATTGCTGAAATTTTCCTAAATTTATACCCATGTTACCCTGAAACAAGTTTCCTGTCCAGGTGTCCAGGTAATTTGAGTAAATATTATATCTCTGTTCATCCTTGACCTACAACTTTAGTATTTATTCACCTTGATGATATCATTGGCCTCAAATAAAAATGATTTACAAAAAACTGGTTTGGGGAACATATTGGCCTCCACAGCAGGAAACTGGCGCATTCAATCAGAGTTGGATTCTGCCTGAGCAGCACCACGAGTGAGATTTTTGCCATAGTACTCTGGGGCACCCTGAAAGCACGAAAGAAATCAAAGAGCAGAAAAAAAATAAATAGACTATGTGAACTATTCGCCTGTTTTCTATATGATACTATGCCTATAGTCACATATGTGTTCTACTCATGTGAGGAAAAAAATTAGTACAATATGGATTTTTTTTTAAAAAAAGAAAACACTACTAACTGTTTTAAAAGTCAGTCCCTGGAGTCTAGAGACAGAATTTGACTCCAAATCTATCACTTTTGGGATATGTGGGATAGGATACTTACATTTTTTTCATGTTTCTAAGCATTCACCTCACCTTGCACCACAAATAAACATCTACTTTATTCACTTGTGGTGCTTAGAGGAGAGAACACAGGAAGCTATCCAACACTGTAAGCGATTTGTCCTTTCATGTTCCTTAAAGATTTTGCCACTAGCATGAATTTGGCTTTTGGATGAAGGGAGACGGAGTAATAAGAGAGAATAGAAAATGGTACCGCTCTTAAAATTCACGAGGTAGTTTCAGTTTGTTTAATGGGTGTTGCTTGGCTAGACTTTCTACTGTAACTTTGAAAAAGGTGAGAAGAAATTAATTTTAATATTAAAACTGGACTTCAGAAAAGGGACATGGTGAATTACAGCAGTATCAGAAACATTCGATTTTTAAAAAAATACTTACTGGAAAATAGAATTTTCTAAAAACTTTCATTTCTTTAAATGATCAAAATGAAAACAAGCCATAGTCTATGACATGTATTATTCGATGACCTGGTGACCAAAAAGTAAAACAGTCTCATTGCTCCTTGGGCATCCTGGCATAAGATTAGAAAATAAAAAACCGGAAACTTCTGGGTAGGGATGTAATTAACCTGTATGTTTTACTTACTGGTTAGAATTCATGAAAACAATATCTGAACTCAGTGGCAACAGCCACTACAACCACCAATTTAAGATGTCTAAATTTTATTCTATAGTCCATCAGTGATAAAATGTATATTCCTGCAAGTGCAGAATTATGAATATTAAGGTATTTTTTATCAAATGTAGGGCACTTAAGCAGCTGCTTGGTACTAAAAGTCTCCTACTTTAGTCTGTTTTGCTAAACCTTGCACGCAGTACAAATCAAAACTAAAACTTTCATTTTAAGCTTTCTACTATTTCTCATTCCAATAAAAAATACAGCAATTATGGATTTGTCATTTAAAAATATTTCTATTATTGGGTGTAAAATTCAATGGTATGCTTATTTTTAAGTGTTTTCCTTATTGACTCAGTCTCTGAAATCACTCTCTAACAGAAAACCCTCACCTAGCAGTCAGGTTCTCAGGATTCCGTTTTGGCCATAAGCACGCTGTACTTATTTTTTTTTCCTGCCTGCAAACTATGTAAGTAGTAATCATTTTATGCAAATATACGTTCATAAATACATTTATTTCTTAATGCATCTACAGATGTATATGTAATTTGAAGAAAACAAGTTTAAAAATGTAAAATATTGAAATAGATTGAGTTAAATATAATAAATAAAACATCTGAAAATGGTCATCAACCAAGTCTTTCCAAGGAGTACCAACACAGCCATTTGTACTTGCTTCAGGTTAAAGCGTGGTATTCAAAGTGAGGGCGGAGATGCAAATTGTTTTCCCAAAGAGCTGTTTATATGGGTTAAGCTGCTTCTTTCTTGTGAAGCTATGAGGGATAAAGATGGAAAAGAAAAACACTTTTCTTAATGATTTTCTTAATCTATTATGGGAAAAAATATGGCTTATAACATTGCTGAAATGAAGAAACCTAATGATTCTCAGTCCACAGTTTTAAATTTAATAAGCATCTCGATTATTTGCAGAAAAATCACGTCTAGGACTTCAATATTTGTTTATAGTTATGTTCCTTTCACTTTAGCAGGGAAATTCTCCCAAGGGTCACAGGCCTAAAAATGCCAATCCAAACAATATCATGGCAATTGTTTAACCATAAATAAACTAGTAACTTATATCATTTTTTCCATAGACAAGAAATCCCATAATCTTTTCTGTAATAATTTCAATTTTACTAAAATGTTTCTGTAAAGCAAAATAGGTGATTGACAAACTCATGTTTGCATCAGATGCTACTACCTAGAAGCATTATTCTATAGATTAATAATTTTTAAATTTCAAGAGACAGTTGCTGATTAAAGTTTATTTTCTCAAATAGCCAATGTATTTTCAAACACAGTCAAAACTTAATTAAGCCTGTTGATTTTGTTGTTGTTGTTGTACTGGGTATCAAACTCAGGACCGTGTATTTGTCAAGCATTTGCTTGTGCTGCTGAACTATATCCCCCACCACCTGAAAATTTTTTAACCTGTACCTCTGAATTTTGATGTTGATGATCTTCCTTTACCCACATTCCGTATAAAACAGGAAAAATGAATTCTATACAAATAAATGTTCTTTTGCATCAAGATTCTACAAGCTGAGCAAAAGAGTACTGAAACTCAGACTTCTATAATTTGGAATCCTTACTGGAAGTTTGCTGCATGTTTTCTTTTTATTTTTTCCTAAAGAAAAACTGAATAAAAGCAATTCAATTCACTGAATGTTAGCTGTGCCTTTAAAGATATAAAAGCAGAATTTTACAAAGAGATTAGAAACCAAGGTAGAGAAGCGGAGCATATTTTTATCTCATTTTGAATTTTGGATTGCAAACAGACACATGGAATATATGACCAAAGTCATAGTCCACTAACCAAATGATCCCAAAGAAAAAAATGGTTTTTCTCTTCTTATTCTCTTGATACTGAGAGCCAGCTAACTCTTAAGTGACCATTTTGATAAATAAATTCCAGAATAACAAGATTTATCTGGCAAATATGTCCAGCAGCTGGAACTCAGGAAACTCTTACTGCTTGTCCTACAGGAGAGAATATGTTCTACCATTAGCCTCTAAATGCCAGAGCAGACTCAGTACATTGATATAAATGGCTGCCTAGATACACTGGAGGACTGAGAGAGATGAGCGTTCAACAGAAAGACAGGTGTTTTATTTGCAGTTTAATCAAGCCAGCAATGAAGTTCTCACTTTAGAACCTACTGGATTTGTATTCCCTGTAGTGTTTCCAGCTATTTCTATTATTTCTCAAAATGAAAGTGAACTCATTCCCAAGCAGTATGAAGGGAAGATGAACTCATTTTCTGAATTTTATTTTCTGGTTAAGTTCTGAGACTCCTAACACTGGAATTCTGGATTCATGGCCTTAAAACTTGGGGACCTTGCCCATTTTTTCGTGTTTATTATGGAGGGATTAAATACAGCAAATAATTTTCAAAGAAGAAATGTAATGCTCATAACCAAAGCCATAGGTAAATTTGTCTTCTAGTTTAAGTAAACTGAGCACTGAAGCCCTCTTGTGCTGTCACAGTTTCTTCAGTTGGATTGAATCTTCCCAGTGGTGTCAGGGAAAATGATCCATCATCTTCAGATATCTTGACTTATAAAAAGATCACCCTCACTTCAATCTTCCCACTAAATAAACACTAGGTAGGGAAAAATATCAAGTAGTTATAATTAATTTAGGAGGCCTCAATTATTTCCTTATGCTCATTGATTTTTTTTTTTTTTTTTGTATTCTTGAATAGCTAGAATGACAGCAAACCAAAATTGTACAGTACTGTATGCCACAATTATTTCTCAGGTTTGAGTTTGAAACTTTTTTTAACTAATATTGATTTAGACATTTCTATACAAATTTAAAGGTATGAGCTGTAAAGCCATCATTTGTATTCCAACACATTCCTCTTGTCAGAACCAGTTAAATCACCATCTTACACAAGTACATATTGAAACTCAATTTTAAGTGTTTTATTGTTATGTACATTTTGTTTTCTCCAGAAATAAAATATCTAAATTCAGACAGTGTAATGTTGTATATGTATAGTTTTCAACAATACTTGAGCTGAATAAATGCTTTGTACATTGTTTGTCTTTTTAATGGAATTCACAGCTACAATGATAAAATGGATTCCTCATATCCTTTTTTTCTTTATAACCAATAACAAGCAGAGAGACGAGTACAATTTAATATTAATAAGCAGCTCAAATAACACTTGGTTAAACTATGTACAATACAAACCATTCATACAAATGAAGACTAGGATATTGAATTTGTTACAATATGTGTAGTAAAGATAAGACAGACACTTATAACTTACATGGTGTCTGCCAGGCATTTCCCTTCTTATATATGATCAGAATTTGTTTTGAGCATCTCTTTAGGTGGTCTCGATTTCCACAAGTGTCCAGTGATTGGCGATTAAAACTATAATTCCAGTGTCTGCCCACATGTAAATTCCAAATGTTTGCTCATCTTTACTGAGAACAGGCTCCCTCAACTGAAAAGAAGAGCCATCCTGTGCAACCTTGAATGTGCCTACTGTGTGCTGGGGAAAAGTTACTACATTTTGCTGTGTTCATAAAATAAAAAATACTGAGCTCTAAAGACACATTTTTTTTTCCATTTTAACAAGCATATACTCCTACAGTAGTATTTACCAGTACAGCTACTCCAAGCAGTAGAAATGCGTGAGTGGGGATTATTGATTAGCATGGACTCAGGACTTTAGAAGAGATTTCCACAACAGCAAGTGTTAGAAACATTCTCTGTTTAGTTAATCCTTTTGTTTGATCACAGTTTGTCCTAAACTGTTATGAGTCAGACAACGAAAGCCCTCTCAACGGGAACCATGACAGATGCAAGCTGAAATGTGCATGAGTGTATGTTTGTATAGCTCTATATGTGAGGACATGTCTTCAAATGTGACTAAAATCTGTGGTGAATTACAACTATACTGAGAGATGAAGCTATTGGGCAGAAGTTACATCAGATTTTTTTTTTCCACTAGCATATTTGCAGCTGGTTGACAAAGAGCAGCAGTGTAGACACATTCCAGGCAACAGATGTGACCTTCTTCTTTGAGGTAACAGCCCTGTCAAATGACCTCTAATTCCTCAGGCTTCAGTCTCACACCCTGTCCATCCTCAGCCCGAGGGGAAGTAAGGTGTGTCACTGTGGTAGTTGTAGTCGGGACACACTTTCTGTACTAGTTTATAATCTGTACTATAAAAGGAAATGTAAATACAGATCACTTTAAAGGGCTTGGAGCAGAGCCAGGACACATGACTTTGGGTTTGCTCCTGGTAACAGGTTTTTGAAGGGTCATAGTTGCAGAGTGTGTTCTTGGTAGCCTTGTCAACCTTTTCATATTCAATGCGACAGTTAAAGGACTTGGAATCTTTGGCATCAATCACGGTTTGTTGTGCCAAGTCGAATTCCACAATTTTTGTAGGGGGCACCAAGCTGACAGAGACATTCCCTTGACCAGTGGAATTATGCCTGAAATAAACACTAAATGTCCCATTGCCGTGATCTACAATTTTCCCAGTTATCAGTAGGTTTAGCTTCACTGTTTTGATGTTAGAGTGAAAATCACCCCATCCAAACATCTTCTTGAACTTGCCCGTCTTAACAATGGGCCTCCTCTTGGCCCTGGGCCGAGGCTCTTGGAGGTCTGTGGAGTTCCTCAGCCAGTCCCAGAGGTCTTGCTCAGAATAAGGTTCTGGGGTATCATATCGCAGGTCCAAATCTGTGTCATTTTCTTTCCCACGAAAAGTCTGTGACAGAAGTCGACTGATAGATAAGTCTTTGCTGCTTTCTGTCCATATGTGCTTTAATGTGGATTTGCTGCTTCCTGACTTCAGAATCTCTGACTTTCCACCATTTGTTAAATTGGCACACGTGACCTGAAAATAGAACAGAAAATTGTCGTTTATATCTCTGCTTCAGAGAATACCCAACACTAATATCTAAGCCTTTCCTCAGAGGCTGAGAATTAAATGGTGACACTTTATTTTTTTAATCACTTTAGCATCTGGCTAATATTTATTAACTTGAGATAAAATACCACTTCTATTTTTATATAACAATGGAAGAAGGCCATGTGGGTGGAAAAATCACTACACATGACCAACGATCTATATAAAAACACTGAGTAATAGACCGAAAAGGCCATCCAGCATGCCCATATCAAAGTGAATTCAAATTTAAGCTAATTATTCTTAACACCAAAATTGAAACACTTTAAATAAAGTTTCATTATGTTATTTTCCTTCTTCAAAATTACCATATGGTTTAAAATGGTGTGTTTCTCCAAAATATGTCAGCTACCACTCTATAGACTTTTTTGTTATGGATGTCACAGTCATTTTAGAATGCTAGTTTTGTAAAGAAATTCCACTATATTTTGACTGAGTAAAACAAAATAGTGTATTTAATTTATCACCAAACATAAGCAGAAGGAATGTTACGGAAAACATAACTTTTTATCCACATAAAATGTAGTCTAGTAAAAAGCCTATAAATTGAGATATCCAGTGTCAACCTATAAAAGCGAACAGCACGTGACCAGAGTCACTTCAGGTTGGATTGAGAGAGTAACAGTCAGAAACTCTTCTCTTTGGACCTCAGTCTTGCCTCTTTGAAAAAAAAGTAGCTCACCAACTGAATCCAGGATGCAGAAGAACAAGTATCCTTATGACCTCAACATAAACAATAAAAAAGGATGTGATTATAGCCCAAAACTTGACAAAACCAAAAAAGCTAATTCAGGTAAACCATTTAAAATGTGGACTGACTGGTCTACAGTAGGGCTGCTGAAGGGAGTCCCCAGATGCCCATTAAAAAAACCAAACTTCATAATAAACCTCTATTGTCAGGTCCCCTTGAGAACTACTCCTAAGCATTCTCTTGAGTCCTGCTTTAAACATGAGTGTGATCACCACTCAGGAGCCTCACTGTAGTCTGGAGTTTGCTTCAAAACTGTTCTCAAAATTAAAGGTCATTTGCAGGAAATTTTTAGAGTCAGTTCTATTAGGAATCAGAGCTGCATTCTCAGGAACCCTTATAGATTTAACCATGTAGTCTCTTTGTTATACCACAAACCTGACCTAGAAGGTCCTTTTATCAGCCACTTGTCCTGGGAGGGTTCTGTCCCATCCCTGAAATGCAAAGACATGACCATTGGAGATAGTCTCCCTAGAATTCTGCCCCAGCGCTGATCCTTTCAAGCTGTGAGTCCTTGATCAAATAATTTAACCTCCTCCTTCCTGAGATTCTTTCATCTATAAAATGAAGGTAATAATGGTGTCTACCTCATACTATTGCCCTGAGGGCTCATTGAGGTAAGACACAACATAAATGTTTAGTATAGTGGCTAAACCATGGGGAGGATTCAATAAATTTGATGTTGGAAGAGAGAGAAAGAAAACAACCAAACAGTGCATATGGAGATCTGGTCTAACAGTAGATTTTCCCCAATTAGGCCTGCAAATGCATCAAACTTGGATAGAAGATATTCTCTCAGCAAATAGATTCAGAGAATCTTCATAATCTAAACTAGAACAAAGACTCTCAGATCTTTTCATCTTGCCTTTTATAGATATCTTGGGATCAGTGAAATTTTCACTACAGCCAGCAAATAGTTTCTTCTCTGCCCAAGTCAAATTGAAATGATAATATGAGTGCTGTGGGACTATACCATCTGTGAAAGAATATCAGTCAGAGCTGAGCTGTTCCCAATGTGACTGAACTTAAAAAGTTCTGCAAATATATCCCCATATAAATTCATTGTATTTAAGATAAACTGAGATTTATTCATGGTTTTATACAATATCACTTCATCTTATAAGGTCAAGATTGAAACAATATGTAGATTAACGCTAGAGCTCTGTCTGCTATTTTAAACTGCTAACCTGTATCCTGTTGCATCTGTAATTCTCCACAATGACAGTGATACACTCATGGAAAGATTCAGAGAGCTATTTTGTCCAGAGTTTTCCATAGGAGAGATAAATCCTAACCATTGGAGAAATGCACCATAAAGATAGCATCAGGACCAAAAAGAATGGACAGATTATTAGGGTTAGGGTCCCACATGATAGAAGCACAGATCAGTGTCATAGTCTAGCATATGGTCACCCTTTTTTGTAAGCATATCACTTACCTACCAAGATGACCAACATCCTGGTGTCAAATCAAACACAATTAACAGGTGGGTTAGTTCAGATGTTGGGGAACATACTAGGAACAATGTCTTTGCTGCCAACTTTATCAGTTCTGTTACTTCACTTCATGTCTACACAATCCTTGCACTAGTATTCCTTTCTCCTCTACTCAAACTGTCACCTGTTTACAGTTTTTCATTGTGCCAAATGTTATTCCAGAAATGGATCACATTTAAACAGCATAAATAACTAATAACAGCAAAACAGCATAAATAACTAATAACAGCAAAATGGTTGTTTTTGCAAATGTAATTTTTTAACAAGAGCTAAGTATTACATCTTAAAAAGGTAAAATTCTTAGAGAGAGTGGGATAGTGCATAGTATACAAAAATAAAAGTATGCCATTTCCTACCTACTCTCTTTGAAAATAAAGCCAACCTAGGATACTTTTTGCATTTTATTAGAAATAATATCACAGAAATTCCATAACCAATAATATTCCATTATGATTAGAAAACTAACAGAAGCAACTAAAGTTCTCCTAATTCACTGAATGATGTATATTTCAAAATATATTACTTTTCCTTAACAAAGTATCTATAGTTTAAAATTTAATACTGATATTGTTATGAGTAGTACACATCGTTTGGTTTCAAAAGGCTTGTATAATTATTTTGTTTCAGTGAAATCTGCTTAAACATCCAATTCTGTGTGTGTTTAATGATAGAAGTATCATCCTTATTAAAATTCTTATATTTATGCTTTAGTATACAAGAAGTAAATGCATTTCTTGTTCTCTGATTTTTACTTAGAATTAAATAGCGTCCTATTATTTGCAAACCAAGAAGAATAAGCTCCGGCATGTGTATAGCATTTAGTGGTTTGGCACTTCTATTTCAGCACCAACAGAAAGCACTAATGAGATGCTTACATCATGATGCACTGGTTAGCAAAGTGGTAAGCAAATCACTCCAAAGAAGGAGGGGGAAAATACTGAGAGTACAATTGATCAGCAGTATACAGGAAGTGAAAGGAAAAAATGTAGATGTGGGAGATATAATTTCAAGAAGGAAGTATCAATCTAGTCAAAACATGCAACGAATCTGGCACCAAGTAAACCTTTGATTTTCAGGTACCATATCAACAGTTTAGTACTAATGTATACTTTCCACAGATGTAGCCATTATGAACATTGTCATAGTTGGTAGGCTATACCAGACTATGCTCTGATCCTTAATGCTGTGTACAAGTAATTAACTTGTTTATGATACTGTTTATTGTCTTCTATGGACTAAGAGAATAATTCCCATCTCTCCCATGGGGCTCTTGTGAAGATTAAGCATGATACGCCATTTAGAGCACTAAGTACAGTAGTTGAAACACCAGTGAATGTTCAACCTTAGTATTATAGTTGTTATCATCATCAGATATTTTTACCTCTAAATCCCACTAGCTAATGCTCTGTGTAAATGATTAACTTGTCATAGAATTTGAGAATAGAGAGCACATTTGTAGGAAAACTTCCTTTAATATAAACAAAATCAAAAATCTTAAAAAGTCGTATCAGAAACTGGGGGGAGGATAATGGGGAGGAAACATTAAATTGGGTTAATTTTTCAATTAAGCAAGATAAAATAAATTTGATAGCTCTGTTCTTTAACATTGTACCTAGAACTAACAATACTAAATTGTGTATTTTGAAGTCTGTGAAGATGGTAGAACCAAGGGTGTTTTCATCAAAATAAACACATTCCTAAAATTTCATTTTAGTGAAACTACAAAAATATATTTTCACTAAAATATACATATATAGAATATATATTCAATAAAATATATGTTGAAATATTTTTCAAAGAGAAAGAAAGAAATCATATATTTTTAAAGTACTAGTGTGACAACCTCAAAATTGCGGGAACTTGAATAGACAGTAAAACTTTGGTTAATGAAAGATGAGCATACATTCAGTTATTAAATAACTCATCAATAAAATGAGATAAATGTATTTGCTTTCAGTAGTGTATTATGTAGAAATCTGAATTGTGCTTACAACCAAAGAACTTTTGAATACCTCAGATTAGTTACAGAATCCAAGCAAGTTTCAGTTACAACTGCCAACAGTATCTTGAGTATTACACTCTCTTGACTTCAGTCTGATTTAGGTTAGAAGACAAAGAGGGCAATGCTTATAAAACAGTATTGATCATGAAAGCCCAGGAAGGGTTGTTTAGCAAAGAACCAAACCTGCTTAATATTACCACCGTCAATTACTTTGTTTCATTAACTCAATAACTATAGAGTAACACTCTGTACATACTCAATAAGTGGAAAATTACAGATATAAATGACATATGATTCTTCCTCTCAAGAATTAGCAGTCTAATGAGGGAATCTATTAAGCAAATCACAATGTGATGCTACCAGCATTATATGTAATATTGTAGGAGTGATCATCAGAGTGGAAAGGAAGAGAAGGTATACCAGAAAGATGGTCCTTACAGTTTGGAGATGAAAGAACATAAGGAAAATAAGTAGTCAAAAGCATATTTGAAAAAGAATGTGTCAAGAATAAAAATGGAAAATAATTCTTCTCGGTCCCCTACTTGCTTCACCACCCAGTCTCTAGTAAGCATCATATCATTCTCTTTTCTTATGAAACAAGATTTTGAAGAGGTTGGGGTTAGAATCAAGACATATTATGTACATACAACAACTCCTTGCAAAGAATGAGACCATTACATAC